CCATTCTTTCTACCAATGAAGGATTGTAGGAAGTTTGTTGGATAATCATAACAGAATAAAATCCATATATATACAAGAAAACTAAACCAAACATCATGAAATGAAAAACCTTGGGGAATTAATTTTCCCGAACAGGTGTTAACTTATGTAGTGCAGATAAGGGGTGATGCAAGTTGGTGGAAATTGGCAGCGATTAGATAGTTCCATCAAAGAAAATGAAAACCAAGATCTAGGTGGTCCACAAAACACTAAATCAAGGAACAAAGCTAGTTGACACCCTGAGTAACACAAATTCACCACACCTTTCTCATCATTATTTATATAGACATGCGTATAATTGTCGTGAGTTGAAGACTTGAAATCCATCAATCCTAAAAGACTTTTAACAAAAAAAAAACAGCTTAGGTTAATAGACAGTCTAGTCATCAAATGGAGAACATGATAAGAAAATAACAAGAAAACAGATGTAAGGTCTAGGTGTTGTGCAAGAATGCAGGAAAGGTCTAATAACAATGGTTTATTAAGATATAAAGCTAACAGCTATGTTTAATTTCCCAGATTAACACTTCAGTGGCAAGCTACTCCCAGAATAAGAGGACAAAGATACTTCCCCAGGGTTTGGATTCTCAATCCTTTCTTTTCGGATTGTTCAATAAGATCCTTTAGAGCACAAAAAACAACAAAAAAAGGAATCAAAATGAAAACCAACCTGCCTAACAATGAATGGCTCCTCAACAACACTTAAAGGCTCGGTTAGTATAGTTTAAAATCCATCCTGGTTTCCATAAACATCGGTAAAGGGCCGATCACCAACCTGCCATAAACATAAATTGTCACCGATATGATCCAAAATCAAGATAAAATAAACCACCCCCAGTTAGTTCTATCACCCTTTACATACCATGATAAGTTGAGATGATTTATACCCAAAATGTTTCTCAATTTCTTCAGCTGTTCCAGCTGGTTTCTTCACCTCTACGAAGACATCATATGGAGATCCTAATCAATTCTAGATAAACCAAACACTTTTTTTTCACAAATAAATAGTAACTCAAATTAATGTGTGTCGAACCTACAATCATTAGCAGCAATTGCAATTCATCCCAAGGTTTTTAAATGTTTAATGTTTTAACATTGGATTGAAACTATTACAGTAAAATAATCGATTTCTTTATTCATAAATACTATAGAAATGAATTGGGTTACAGAATAGAACAAAAGCCTTGAAACGGAAAAGGGGGGGTGGCCTTACTGAGCCTTATTACTTTAATTCCAATAGTCCCTTCTAGTTTCTTCGCCTTTGAACCATCATAATCATACTCTAAAAGACCTTAATTCAACAAAACGAGGGAGAAAGACAAAACTTCAACACATAGAACAAAAGCACGATGAGTAAAGAATAAACAGGAGTCCATTTCAAAGAGTCAAACCAGAAAATTACCGGCAGAGTTACTAAACATGGCGATATCAGGGCCAAAAACATCCTTACACTTATCAATAGAAGGACGGAGAGGAAGCGAAAGGGTCAAGGAATAAGGAACAGTAATCGTATTATTCGTATTCAAAACCACGCCTTTAAACCCTCTTCTGTGGATCTCAGGCCAATCAATGCACCTTATATCACGCACCGCAACATGCGGCAACGACAAGTAACGGTCATTAAAGAACACTCGGACCGAAAACACGATGCCTTCAACATTGATTCTTTGTCCCACAGCTGCCCTCAAATCTGTCCACCACAAGTTCGAGAAAATGACTCTGAGAAACCCCAGAATCTGGCCTTCTAGGGACGTTTCTCCTCTTCTTTTTCTTCGTCTTGAGGATCTGGGTCTTGATTATTTACGCTCTTCTGGCTGAAGGAAGAGTAAAATTGTTCGAGAAAAGTGGATTTCTGATCGGGGTACGTGTAGCTGTTGGTTCTACTCTGATTCTCTTGCTGGGGTTGGCTGAAATCATTGTCTTGTTTACTCAATAAAGAAATGCATTTTCTTTTTTTCCTTTTTCTTTTGTTTTTTACATTTCAAGTTAAATTAACTCTTGCAACAGGCTCTTTGGATTGAACTTCCGTTCAGTGCGTTTGAGGGATGTGGATTGGATTCACTCTGCCAGCTACCTAGATTAGGCCAGTAAATGAACTGAACGTTCAATGAATCGTTCATGAATAGTGCGGCGGGAAGTTCGTTTATGTGCGTTTATTTAATAAATGAACAAACATGAACAAGATTTTGTGTTCGTTTAATTAAATGAACGAACATGAACATAGGTCTCGTTCGTTCATTTACGTTTGTGAACGTTCGGTTATGTTCGTTCGGTTATGTTCGTTCGGTTATGTTCATTTATGTTCATTCATTTATGTTTAACCCAATCTTCTTAAATCAATTTTGGTGACCAATTTGTAAGTATCTTAAAAATATTAATTAATCTGATATTCTGATGACCAATTCCATAATTAACCCAATTTTATTTGGAAAATCCAACAATATTAACATGGTTTAGTTCTTTTTGAACGATCCATAAGCTGCATACTCAGCACCGTCAACATCTATTGCGCCGGAACCCTATGTGACTACACCACCAGCTGGTTATCCGATGAGCAAAGAGGAGTCCCAGAAACCAATTGCTTTCGAAACCAAGTCCAAAGGTGATGGATTCTGGAAGGGATGTTAAGTATTAAGCACCGTTTCTTCTACTCAAATAATCTTCTTTTCTTTCATATATAATGGAGTATTCAAATTTACAAGTAAATAGTGATCAACCAGCAACTCAAGTCAGCTTACTTTGAACTCAAGAACCCAATAATGGTGAGGCCTTATTACATAGGTTGAGAAGTTCTTTAACGTGTTTCATCAAACAAATTTTGTGCACCATCCGGATATAAAAGTTTAGTCAGCCGAGAAAGAATGGTTTTTGATGTATGAGTTGGTGTGAACAATAAACCAACATACTTCTCTCATCTCCCAATTTTCAACTTCTACATAGCACAAAGCTAAGGACATGTTTGTTTGATCCCCATGGATTAAGGTTGGCAATCACATGAAACACAATCTGTGTTCATCTCGACTGTTGTTGAAGGAGATAAGAAGAAAGAAAGTGGAGGAACGTTATGCAAATTGACATCAGTAGCAAACAAGCAGCTCGGGGTTGGTAACTTATATAAAAGAAGATGGGAGAGAATAGGTTTAAGCATCTTTGCGCTTGGAGCAATGTCGAGCTCGGAATCGAGCTTGAATCGAGCTCAGAATCGAGCTTGAATCAAGATCTTAAATTTTTTTGAGTTCGAGTCGAGTTTCAATATTATATTTCGAGTTCGAGTTGAGCTTGATAATTTTAAGCTCGCGAGTTTTCGAGTCGAGTCGAGCTGACTTTGAAAGTTTTCGAGTTCGAGTCGAGCTCAGCAATACTCGAGCTCGACTCGGCTCGTTTATACCCCTAGGTAGGGTCTCCAACGTTTATGTTTGTTTATGTTCGTGTTCATTTATGTTCGTGTTTGTTTATGTCCGTGTTCGTTTATGTTCGTTTATTTATTAAATGAACGAACATGAACAAGTTATATTCCTTAATAAACGAACATAAACAAAAAATATTTTGTTCGTTTATGTTCGTGTTCGTTTATGTTCATTTATTTATTAAATGAACGAACATGAACATACCTCCGTTCGTGTGCGTTCGGTTAGTTTACAGGCCTAACCTAGATTTTACCTGCATATATATATATATATATATATATATATATATATATATATGGGTTATGATTTGCTCTCTCCTCCACGCTAAGTAGGTCGTAAATCAACATGGTTTAAACAAATAAAACTATATTTAATTTATCAATTAACTAATCCAAATTAATTTTATAATGATTTATTACGAGAGCAGCATCCTCAACATAGTTTTTTCGATTCATAATCTACTAGATTATTTGGTTATTGCCTATTGGTTTGCTTATTCAATTTTTTTAGTGTTGTGTAAATACTCATTTTTAATCAAGCTAAGGTGCTTATAAGTGATAGTTTATATTCTAAAAAACCAATCATTTGATAATAAAAGCTCAAATATTCTGCAACTACTAATGTTCAAACTCATGACCTCTAGGAATAACAATGTCTCTTTAACCACTTAGGTAGCTTAATTCATGCGCAATGATCGTCATTTATATACATTATATCCGTACTTAAATATATATTAGGTTAATTTCCATAATATTAGTATTAATATATAAAATTGTTTGATCTATAGATTATGTAAATTTGAATTTAGACGAGATTATTTATTTGAAGATTTAAAGTAATCTGACAATTAACTATTGTGAAACAAACAACCTCCACAAAACATTTTAAACTATTTAAGTCTTGGGTAAACTACACTGAAAAATACTTAACTATTATCATATTTCATTTTGACCATCAATATTTTGATTTAATCAATCAAACCACTCGACTATTTAAATGTTTCAATCAAATCATTTGCCGTTAACATTTAACGGAGTAGGTGATGTGGTAGTTAAAATATTTTAATATAATTACATAATTGGCCCTTATTATTTATATATTCTTTCAATTTAGTATTTATTTTAATAAATTAAAATAAATATAACCATCGAATCAGGTGGTGTCGTGTGTCATTGGTGACACGTGTCATCATTCGATTAAAGGACTAAATTTATTTTGATTTATTTTTAATTTAATAAATTTATTTTCCTCCGATCAGAGGTATCTATCACCCCCTAGATGATATAGTAGGCGCCAAACCTTTAAGCCAAGACAACCACTTACCGATCACATGAGTGTAACTACCCTACTCATTACTTAGAACTTGCAGCGATAATCTTCGCGCTAAAGATTTGGAGGCATTACTTGTTTGGTGAAAAGTGTCACATCTTTACCGATCACAAAAGCCTTAAGTACCTACTCACTCATAAAGAGTTGAACTCAAGGCAATATAGGTGGGTCGAGTTGTTAAAAGACTATGACTGTGTGATCGAATACCACCCAGGGAAGGGAAATATGGTTGCAGATGCTTTGAGCAGAAAATCAATGTCGGAATTGCGAGCTTTGTTAGAGTGTTTAAGCTTGTCTAGATATGGTTGTTTGTTGGCTGAATTACGAGTAGAACTAGAGCTAGTTGGTGAAGTTAAAAGGTTGCAAGGTTTCGATAACCTCTTGAAGGCTCGCATAGAGCAGGTCCTCCGAGGTGAGTCTTTAGATTTTGAGTTGAGAGATGGGATGTATTTTTCTTTAAGGGTCGATTATGTGTGCATGTAGATGCAAAGTTGTCCAATAAGATTCTTCATGAGGTGCATTGCAGTTCGTTCGCATTACATTCAAGTAGCAACAAGATGCATCAGGAACTCCTGCAGTTGTATTGGTGTCAAGGCATGAAAAGAGAGGCATCAGAGTTTGTCTCTAAGTGCTTAGCATGCCAACAAGTCAAAGAAGAACATTAGGTTCCTTCAGGGTTGCTCTAGCCCTTTCAGATTCCATAGTGGAAATAAGATAGGGTAATGATAGACTTCGTGATCGGGTTATCAATGACTAGGTAGAGGCACGATGCAGTGTGGGTTATAGTGGATCGATTAACCAAGTCATCTCATTTCCTTCCCGTTAGAATGTAATATACATTAGAGAGGTTAGATTAACTGTACATCCGAGAGATAGTGAGGTTACAATGGGTACTGACTTCGATTATATCTGATAGAGACTCGCATTTCACTTCCTGGTTTTGGAAAACCCTTCAAGAATCCTTAGGCACCAAGTTACACTTTAGCACCACTTTTTATCCTTAGAGAAATTATCAGTTAGAGCGAGTCATTCAGATCCTCAAGGATATACTCATGCGTATCGTTGTAGACTTTGAGGTAGTTGGGAGGACCATTTTCCATTGGTGGAGTTCACCTATAATAACAGTGACCAGTCTAGCATCCAAATGGCTCTATATGAAGCTTTATATGGAGTAAGTGTAGGACTCCACTTTGTTAACCTAAAATAAAGTGAGGGAAAGATTGTGGATCCCAGGTTAATCAGAGAGACTGAAATGAAGGTTTAGTTGATTTAGAGTCACTTGAGGGAAGCCTTTAATAGGCAAAAGTCATGAAAATTTGAAAATACAAGGACATCAAGTTTGTGATGGGCGATAAAATATTTCTCAAAGTATCCCCATAGAAGAAGGTTCTTCGATTTGGACGTAAGGAAAAATTAACATGCATTTCATATGACCGCATGAGGTGCTTGAGAGAATTGAATTCGTAGCCTAATAGTTAGTCTTGCCCTCATAGATGGAGCATAATCACAAAGTGTTTCACAAGTCCATGATTTGGAGTTCTGGCCTTTCTCACGTCATACCCCTAGAACAAATCGATTTGAGTCAGAACCTGGCCTATGAGGTATAACCAATAAGGATTTTGGTGAGAAACGTTAAGGAACAAAAGGATCCTATTGGTGAAGATTTTATGGATGAACCATGGTGTTAAAGAGACAACATGAGAAACCGAAGAAGAAATGCAACATCAATATCCATATTTCTTTTACCTTAGTAAATTTTGATGACGAAATTCCTTATTAGAAGGGGAGAGTTGTAATTTCCCAATTTCTGGGCTAGTAGTTTCAAGCTAAAATGAGAGTATTTAGAATAAGTTCATTATCCTTTTAGGAAGCCTTGACCTAAATTATGTAGGTTTGAGCTTGGATTGAGCCCAATAGGAGATAAAAAGGGTATTTTTAAATTGATATCAAATTTAGGAGGACCAAAGAAGTAATTATAACATTTTTATTTTTAAAGTTTGAATCTCATTAATTGGGATGATCTCACATTTGAACCCCTTTCCTTGTATCTCTTTTTCTACATCTTATTTTCTTCTTCCTCCATCCAAGCCTCTATTGTTGTTCATTGTTTCTGAATCAAAGGTAACAACATTACAATCTTGCAAGCCTAGAAAAAATCTTAAGGTGAGAATCATAATCCCCTAATGTCACATTCTAATTTTTTGGGGGTTAAATTTTAATTGAAGGAAGTTTAAGGATTAGGGTCGTAATTAACATAAATTTATTGGTATTTTAAATACCTTTTTTTCTACCTTTTTTTCTTTTTCCTCCAAATTATTTTAAACCCCCTTCCAAGCTTTCTCTCTCCTTTTATTTTATCACTTACCGTTGTTGTGCATTTTTGGCTTTTTCTTCACCATCTGTTCGTCGTAACTCTCGCCTTCAGTGTATTTATCTTCGTCTCATCGTTTTTATTCATCAGGTACCATTGATTCACTGCTTATCATCTTTGTTCAGCGTTGAAGGAGGGAAAACATTTCGAGTTATTCAAAAAACATGTCACCACCGTTCAACATCATGAACCAACTCCGGTATGAGACTCCTAATGCTTTAACATTAAATTCTAGAAATTTTGGTAAAATTATGGCCACCAGAGGAGCTACCACGCACCCTCACGCGCTACCGTGCGTGTGTGAGACTACTCTAAACAATTTAAACTCCTTTAATCGGCTGAATCAATTTGTCTTTGGACCAAACCAGTTAAATTGGTCTAACCTTGAACTGAGTCTTGAACCATTGACCCAATTTGTTAACTTTTCGTTGACCATTGATCATGGACTTTTTCATTGATCATTAACTTTGACTTCTAACCATTTGCTTTGATGTTTGACCCGTTAACTTCTTTTGAAGACCTCTTGATAACTCTGTAAAAAGGTCATATTTGGGACCTTTTCACTTAAGTTATTGATTATCTAAGAGCTCATATAGGATCATATAGATACATTTAGGAGCATATAGTTGCATGTGGTGGAATTATGTTTGCCGAGGCATTTTATTTTATAATTGGTGGTGCTGTATGGGGAAGGTGTTTTGTTTGATGATGTGCAGGATTTGGGAGCAAGGATAAGCAAAAGGGAATTGCCATGATATAATGAGACTACTGAGCAAAATGCGATTGTTGTGACAACTCGGACGATATTTCTGGGCAGAAAAAAAAATCAAAGAAGATATTTTTAGTAAGAGCCAGCTGTCATTGACTATACATGATTTCTGCAATTAGCCATATAGGAGGGGCCCATTACCACCTATGCACCATCTTTCACTTAAAAGGAATGACCTTTAGGGTACTAGGGTAATTTTAACACAAAACCCTAGGTTCATTCTCTCCCTATAAATAGAAGATGAAGCCACAATGAAAAGAGACACTTTGAATTTTAGAGAAGTCGCCAAGAGCCAAAAATTCAGAGAAAAAATTCTCCACCAATCCGATTTGCAGTGGCATTCCTTCGTTGACAAGCTAGAGGGAGTGGCGTTCTAGGCGTCTGAGAGGAGCTAGTTCATTGGGACAGATCATGGTGGCTGAGGAAAGCTTCGACAGTGCACGTCGAAGGCTTTTCCTCCTTCCCTTTGCTATTTTCTTTTATATTTTATCAATTGGGTTGTAAGGAACGTATTAATTTTCTTTGTGCTTGCTTATTTCGAATCCCTCCATGAACTAATCCTATTTGGTGGGAGTTTATTTTGGATATTTAAGATTTGCTTTAATGAATGGTTGTTTTTCTATGTTATTAACTGTTTTATTTATGGATCTTAGTGCCTTAAGGTTGTAGGAGTTATGAGAGTAGCCATTCCTTAGGATATTACTTAGTGTTCGAGAGAATGTCTAGGTAGCACATCCTTAGTGTTCAAGAGAAACTAAGGATGAACCATATAAGTTAGGGGCTCTAGATAGTAACTAAGCCTAATCCACCTTAGAGATAAGGCTAGGATTTCATTCGACTAAAAGGTGTTGTGCATGAATGATAGATTAGATGTTAATCGTGTCGCAAAAAGGTATTGTCTAGACATATCTTGTTATCTGGACCAATATGATCACTGCAGGGGCTTACGCCAACCGATTTTGCCACGACATCTTCAATCTGTCGAGTCCCTTACTAGAGATAGCATAAGACACTCTAGTAGACTCTGTCAGGCAGATAAGACATAAAAGTAAGACCATTCTGAGAAGTAGACTTGAATTTTCCTAAGTGACTCCTATCACTCATTCCCATAGTAGCTTGTCGTGTGAGGAAGTCTAAAGTCCTGATAATCAAAACCAACATTTACATTTTGTTTTGCTTTTACATTTTCATTTAATAGCACTAGACACAATTTAATTTGTCAAAACATCTCCATCCATTTTGCCACAACATCTTCATTTGTTGCCACATTACACCATCATTCCATTCCCACCAACATCCATTTCATTTTGCCATAGCATTCTCATTTGTGAATATCATTAACTATACATAGTACTTTAGAATAGTGCATAAACTTTACTCAAGATATCTCCAATCCCTGTGGATACGATACTCACTCATCACTGTATTACTTGTTCTATTGTGTATACTTGCACATATTTCAGCAACCATATTTAGTACTCACAAAACGCAGACAAGTTTTTTGCGCCATTGTCGGGGATTGGCAATTGACGTTTTTGAGTTTAGTTGTTGCACTATTTTATTTCTTCTCTTTGTACACATTTACTTGTTTTTGTGTTTACCTTTTTCAGGTGTTACGTTTTGGCATGCCCCGTAATAGACCTAAAGAACCATTATTTTATATTGAACCTAAGGCTCATGTTGTTCAAAATCAAGTGAAGGATCATGCAGTTCTAAATGTCACGACAATTCCAAATGCTGGGAATGCTAATCGACCACGAACTATTAGAGATCACTTAGCTCCCACCTTGGACGACCTAAAACCTGCTATTGTAGCTCCCAAGATTCAGGCAACCCAATTCGAGCTCAAACAAGTTATGTTCGACATGTTGGACTTGATTGAACAATTTGGTAGTGCTCGTCATAAGGATGCAAGACAACATGTTAGAGCATTTTTAGAGGTCTGTGACTCCTTTCGACAACAAGATGTGCATGAAGATGTGCTGAAATTAAAGTTATTTCCATATTCTTTGAAATATCACGCTAGGGCATGGCTCAATGGATTATCTTCTGGCTCGATAAGGTCTTGGGCTGACTTGTGCAAAACATTTTTGCTACGGCATAATCAACCCAATATGAACAACCATCTTAGAAATACCATAGCATCTTTTGACCAAGGCTATGAAGAGTCTATGTATGAGTACTGAGATCGATACAAAAGTTTGCTTCGCAAGTGCCCCAATCATGGATTCCACGACTAGACTCAAGTTATGATGTTCTACAATGGAATCAATACACCGACGAGGATGATGTTAGATGCCTTGACAAATGGGACATTGCTCGATAAATCATATTCAGAGGCATTCGACATTCTGGATAGGATTGCCAATAATGATTATCAGTTTTCATCTTCAAGGCTTAGAGCCGGGAGAAAAATGCCTGGGACATTTGAATTGGATACTACGGATTCCATGTCCGCCTAACTTTCTGCCATCACCAATATATTGAAGAATTTGAAACAATCAAGTGAGGTGAATGAAGTCAAG